TATCGTTGCTCTTCTTCCCTGTGCACCATTTGGTCTGACCAACACCGCCCATTTATAGGGAAAGTGACACATTCGCCGTCCACTACCCACGATATTTCTCCTCGTATAGTAGACCTCTCTCATGCTGAAGTGACTGATGAGCAACAAGAGCAACTGGCCGCTTTATTTTATGAGTTCCGCGACAGAATCTCCAATGATTCATACGACCTTGGACCCTACGAGGACTCAGAAATTGTCATCAAAACTGCAACCAACTCTCCACCTACTCGTTTTCGGCCCCCTCGGATCCCAGTCAAGTTTCAAAAGAAGCTTGATGAACACATTAACAAGCTACTTCGCGCTGGTCGTATTGTACAGAGTGATACGCCGTGGGCTCATAATACGGTCCTCGTTAAGAAAAAGGACGGATCTCTACGGGTTTGTCCCGATTTCCGCCCGCTAAACGATGTCACCATCCCGGACCATTACCCTTTACCTCGCATCGAAGACATATTAGCTAAGATTGCTGGTCACAAATACTATACCACCTTGGATTTAGCTTCAGGATACATGCAACTTTTACTTTCCCCCGAAAGCCAAGAAAAATGTGGCTGGGTAACGCATCGCGGCATATATCAATTTGTATACCTTCCTTTTGGTTTTGAAAACGCTGGTGCATATTTTTCTAGGGCCATGTCGCGCATTCTCGCTGGACTTGAATCTAACTGTCTCGCATATCTAGATGATATCATCATTTTTGATCCCGACTTTCCGAGTCATCTACTTTCTTTACGCAAGGTCTTCCATCGTTTTCGTATTTTTAATATTAGAGCGTCTGGTAAAAAGCTGATCGAGATAGCCCGTTCTCATATCACCTTCTTGGGTCATGAGATTTCAGGTTCTGTTTATTCTCCCGCCGATCGCAATATCCGCGCCATAAAAGACTTTCCCACGCCAACTACTACCAAGGCTGTCAAAGGCTTTGTGGGTATGGGGAATTTCTTTCGCAAATTTATTGCGAATTTCGCTTCGATTGCTTCCCCTCTTTATGCCCTTCTCAAAGATAAAGCAACATTTATTTGGGGTGTAGAACAAGAAGAAGCGTTCCAGCGTCTCAAAGATCTCTTAACCTCCAAGCCGTGTTTAGCGTTTCCTCAAGACAAAGAATTCTCTCTTCACACTGACGGTGGTCAAAATGCGGTAGGTGCCGCCCTATTCCAGAACAGTTCTCAAGATGACCACCAGTTGGTCGCCGTAGGGTATTTTAGTAAGGTTCTCTCTGATTCTCAACAGAAATGGAGCCCAGCTCACATAGAATTGTTTGCTATTATCAGTGTGTTGCGTTTCTTCAAAGCAACAATAAACGGTAACCACACTACAGTATTCTCCGATCATCGCCCTCTCACCTTCTTACTCAAGCATAACAAAACTCACGGTAACCTTACAAGGTGGGTGGTCGAACTTCAGAGTTATGACGTGATCATTGAATAGCTCAAGGGATCGTCCAATGTGGTGGCCGACGCTCTCTCGCGGGCCGCCAATCCCCAAGTGCGCTTTCAAGATGACACACCTGACGCCGATGACATCATTGAGTTCCCGGTCAGAATCAATTCGGTTTTTACCCCAGCGCTTCCCAAGCAACCTACACTTTGTTGCCTGGGACCGCCTAAGGCAATCCGTTCTTACGACGCCCTTGTAGAACAGAAACGCGACCCATTTTGCTCTGCATTGTTCACGTTCATCAGCCCCCAGCGGTTTCCAGATGGCCTCACTGACGACAAAAGCGGAACTGGATATCCATAGCAGAAAATTGTGTGGTGCGCAAGAACGGCTGTCTCTATTACAGTAACCCATCAAGGCCTTCAAGGTCTTTCAAGTTTGACAGTTTGGTGATCCCCGAGAAATTGAAGGAGCCTGTCTTCCTCGCCTTTCACTCGAGCCCCTCGGCGGGAGGCCACTTCAGCTTTAAGAAGACTTTGGCCAAAATATTCCGTAAATATTCCTGGCCGCATATGGTTGAGGACATCTTTGCTCTAGTTCGCGCGTGCGAGGCGTGCCAACGTAAGCGCCCTAACCGGATGAACCAAGAATTATTGCTCCCCGTGACCAGCGGAGCCATTTTCGACAAGGTTCATGTTGATTTAACCGGACCCCTCCACATCACCGAAGGTGGGAATCGATATATATTAGCTATGATCGATCATTTCTCTAAGTATGTAATCGCCTGCCCCTTACCCGATTGTTTTTTAAAATTTAGTGTGATGACTCAACTCGTTTCAGATAACGCCTCGTATTTCAAAGGAGACGTCATCGGGTCTATTGGACGATTTCTTCAGATCAATCGCTAATTTGTACCCCATATCACC